TACAAACATATACGTAGGACAAATATAGTAAAAAGGCAGCATGAGGGCTACAAGTGACTGATACTTAAACCATGTTATGGCCGAATGATACCCTGTGATACCTACAACTTCTAGTAGAACTCCAAATTCAAGCCCATGTGGTCTAATCACACAGAAGAGCTCACATTACTGAAAAATACGATATTAGGAGGGTGGTTTTAATATTGTGGCTGATCAGTTCTGCATATATTTGGAGCATTTTAATGTCATCTGTTCACAGATCAAGTGAGATAAACTAACCAATAGAGGGAAAAACAGCAGAAGCACTACTATTTATTATCTTTCAGGAATTGTACCAGAGGATTGGGGAAAGGCAGATGCAGTTCCTATATTCAAAAAGGATTCAAAATCTTTGCCTGGAAATTATAGATCTGTTAGCTTAACTTCTGTGCCTGGGAAAATATTTGAAGGGTTATTAAGAGATAACTTTAAGGAATTTATTGAGAACATTGTTATTAGAAAAAAATCAGCCAGGATTTATGAAGCATAGGCCATGTCCAACTAACTTAATTTCATTCTACAAAAAAGTTAGTAAAAGTATAGATCAGGGTGATTCATAGGACATGATCCACTTGGATTTTGCCAAGACCTCAATATGGTTCCATTGCCATGCATATTAATTCTCAGGATTAAAATATAATTTTGCCTATTTATAAATCAATGGTAAGATCACAAGTTGAATATGCCGTGCTCCTTTTCGAAAGAAGGATATTATGGCACTAGAAAAAGTGCACAAGCAAGCTACAAAATGAATAAAAGCAATGGAAAATTTTAGCTATGAAGAAATATTTAACAATTTTTAATGTTTAGTTTAAAACATGACACCTCAGAGTGGGTTTGATAGCATTTTACAATATATATTCAGGGCCAACACAAATAATTCTCTGGAAATCTATTCCTAAACAGGTCTATACATCGGACACAAGGTCACCCTCAGACTGGGAGATTTAGTCTTAGGCAATGAAAAGGTTTTTTTTTTACATTAAGAACAATAAGGATGTGAAATTATCTACCTGAAGATGTGGTTTCATCAGAGTCTATACAGCTGTTTAACTCCTTAAGGACCAAACTTCTGGAATAAAAAGGAATCATGACATGTCACACATGCCATGTGTCCTTAAGGGGTTAAGGGGTTAAACAGCAACTGGATAAGTACTTGCAAAAACATAATATTCAGGTACATATGGCTAAAACAAGACACAACCATAGGAACAGAGTTCTTATCTCCAGTAGCAGCGAGGACTATATGTCAGGAGCAAACTAGTTAGAGGCTTCTCATCACAGGTATGAATTAAGGCGGGGTACAATATGATATAATACTGGTGTTAGCAGCACCTTAATGGGTTACGAGTAGAGGTGAGTGAACCCGAACTGTAAAGTTCGGGTTCGTACCGAACATTACGATTTTTGGACCCCGAACCAGAGTCCAGACATTTGTCCATACTGTGGTTACATCGCACTTTGAAAAATTCACATTTCTTTGGTGGTAAAAAGTAAATTTGGGGCGTGCACTTCATATCTGAGAGTCAAATAGAACCGTCAAATACTGCTGTGACATTGCTGTTTGACTAATTCACATTTTTTTGGTGCTAAAAAGTACATTTGTGGCATGTACTTCATATCTGAGAGTCAAATAGAACCGTCAAAAACTGTGGTTACATCACACTTTGAAAAATTCACCTTTCTTTGGTGCTAAAAAGTAAATTTGGGGCGTACACTTCATATCTGAGAGTCAAATAGAACCGTCAAATACTGTGGTTACATTGCACTTTGAAAAATTCACATTTCTTTGGTGCTAAAAAGTAAATTTGGGGCGTGCACTTCATATCTGATAGTCAAATAGAACCGTCAAATACTGTGGTTACATCGCACTTTGAAAAATTCACATTTCTTTGGTGCTAAAAAGTAAATTTGGGGCATGCACTTCATATATGAGAGTCAAATAGAACCGTCAAATACTGCTGTGACATTGCAGTTTGACTAAGTCACATTTTTTTGGTGCTAAAAAGTACATTTGTGGCGTGCACTTCATATCTGAGAGTCAAATAGCACCGTCAAATACTGTGGTTACATCGTACTTTGAAAAATTCACATTTCTTTGGTGCTAAATAGTACATTTGCTGCCTGCGGTGCACCTCATATCTGATAGTCAAATAGAACCGTCAAATACTGTGTAAAGTAATTCAGGAAATTTTGGAAAACTCAGGTAATTTTACTCAGGAACATATTTTATTTTTAACTGACAGCATTAAGTGGATTTTAGAAAATAACTATTTTAATTTTAATTCTAGATTCTATCTACAACTACAAGGTACTGCTATGGGGACCAGGTTCGCCCCCAGTTACGCTAATTTGTTTATGTCGAGCTGGGAAACAGAAGTTATTTACACCAGCCAACACTGGGGGACGAACCTGGTCTCCTACCATAGATGTATAGATGATATATTTTTTATATGGAGAGGCACACAACTGGATTTAGAGCTTTTTTTAGAGAATATTAATGTAAATGACTGGGGTTTAAATTTTAGTAGTCTTTTTAATAACCATAGTATTAACTTTTTAGATTTAGAAATTTATGAGGAAACAGGCATTTTAAAAACTAAAAAATTTTTTAAAAAAGTAGATGCAAATAGTTATGTATTGTATAACAGTGGGATCTATACTCCATGGCTAAATAATATCCCAAAAGGTCAACTACAAAGAATAAGAAGGAACTGCACTGAACAACATGTCTTTGAGGAACAAGCAAAGATAGTGATAGACAAATTTTCCCAAAAATTATATCCTACTAATATCTTAGAAAAAGCTTATGATGAAATTAAAGAATATCATCAAAACGAATTAGTCTTCAAACAAAGTAACCATAGAGACAAACAAAATAAATTTGATAAGGTACCTTTGGTTTTAGACTTTAATCAAGATTCGAATAAAGTTAAATCTATTATTAAGAAACACTGGCACCTTTTAAAGAAAGACAGAGAATTATCGACAATTATCCCAGATATACCTTTTATTACCTTTAGGGGTGCGCCTAGTCTAAAACAGATTTTAACTTTTAATCATCCAAGAAAGGAGATGCCTGAAACTTTTTTAAATATAAATAAAAAAGGTTTTTATTCATGTGGAAAATGTGCAGGTTGTAAGTGTAGCAAGAATAATACCTTGAAAGGGATAAGTAAGTTTAAGACGAAATATGCAAAAGAAGAATATACTATTAAGGATTTTATAACTTGTTTTACTAAAAATATTATATATCTTTTAATATGCCCATGTGGGTTGCAATATGTGGGGAGGACTATTCGCCCCCTACATAAAAGAATTTATGAACACGTTAATAATATCCGTAAAGGTTTAGACCATCATAGTGTATCTGCCCATTTTAAGAAGCACCATAATAGCGATCCTAGTGGCCTTACATTTTTAGGGATTCAATTAGTTAAGAAATCATGGCGAGGAGGAAATTTTATTCAACATTTGGGAAAAGAAGAGATGAAATGGGTTCATACATTAAATACCCTTGAACCTAAGGGCCTCAATATTGAATTCGATTTGTACAACTTTTTCTAAACGACCCTTTTTTTCTCTTGTGCTGTCTTTTAGATTTCTTAGAATTTTTAAAGATTATTAACTCACTTCCTTCTTCTTCCCCTCTATAGAAGGCTTTTTTTGTTTTTTTACCTAGTTTTTTATATAAATTTTATATATAAAATATATATATGACTTATATGTGTATGTATATCCCTTTTTTTCATATATATATATATATGACCCTTTGTGTGTGTATATATATATATATACATATTCTTCTTCTTGTGGAATTATACTAAGATGCTAACAAGAAGTGTCTATGTGCTATTATTATTATTACTATTATCTACTGCTGTTCTATGAGTCATTTGGATGAGTTATCTTTTAATTAGAAGATTAGCTTTTTGCTATACTTGTTTTTCTTGTTTTTCTTGTTGTTTCATATGTCATGGACTTTCTCAATATAGACATTTACAAGATCTACCCCTAATTAGTTTATGGGGAGTTTCTATAATGATTGACACAAACCACGCCCATGTATGGTTAAAAAAGGCAGGACTAGCTACATCAGGATGTGATCTGAGGAAGCCGATTGGGCGAAACGCGTCATCACGTCGATTACGTCATCACGCCATCACGTGACCGGACGAAACTCCGAGTTCCAGGAAGTGAAGCCTGTAATACCGAAAGTTACCAGGGACTGGTAGATATACACAATACAGCACTGGCAAAAGGTTATTTGGCTGCTATAGGGAAACGGAGAGTGTGGATTCTATTTATTTTCAATAAAGCTGTTTTTAATTTTGGAAGCTGGTGTGCTGCCTATTTACACCAACATTGAAGTCCTGGTTTTTGGATTTAAAGCTGGATCAGTTTGAGCAGGCTTTTACTGCTCTTCTTTTGTGAGTGATATTCCTAAATGTATTTGCTGGTCTTTATATTTATGTAAAACAATATTATACTATGTTTCTCCATTTTTTATCTCTTTTTACATATGTTCTCATGTGATTTGGAGAATTTAAGGAGACATATATTTCCCTTGTAAGTTATTTGTCTTGGATATTGAATTTTTACACTATCACATTTGCATTTTGCACTTATGCCACATTGAATGTGATTGTATACACACTCTGTGTTTTTGCACAAAATATTTGCACATATTATTGCACTATTTGCACTTTTTAACATTTAAAGATACAGCGCACCTATTTTTATTTTTTACATCACACTTCGACAAAATTCACATTTTTTTGGTGCTAAATAGTACATTTGCGGCCTGCGGTGCATTTCTTGCAGTCCAATAAAACCCTTAAATACTACTGTTACATTGTTGGTTTTAAAAAATCACACTTTTTTGTGCTAAATAGAACATTTGCGGCCTGCGGTGCATTTCTTGCAGTCCAATAAAAATAAAAATAATCACTGGAGAGATAATGGAGTTTCAGCTGCAGCATGCATGGGTCTGTCGCTCTCCACCAGACTTGCCCTCCAATAGATCCTCGTTATAGGAGTTAAAGTGTACTCATTACAATTAAAGGGCCTCGAAAGAGTCCTGTATTGTTATTTTTCGTCACTACCTCCCCGCGTCAGGAGTGGGTAATTTGCGCGCCTGCTGCCTTCCTTGGATGTGGTAGCTGTTTCTCAGGCTCCCTCTCTGGAATCGAACCCTGATTCCCCATTACCCATGGTCACAATGGTAGGCGCAGAAAGTACCATCGAAAGTTGATAGGGCAGACATCCGAATGCGTCGTCGCCATCACGGGGACTTGCGATCGGCCCGAGGTTATCTACAGTTACCAAAGTGCCTGTGCAATGACTGCCGAGTTGCCCATATTCTAACTTATGCTGATTACTGGGTGGCCACCCTGCTGGATCCCCATTACAAGGACAACGTGCCGTCCTTAATTTCCTCATTGGAGCATGATCAGAAGATGCGCGACTACAAGCGCTGGTAGACGCGCTGCTGAGGGCATTCCCAACTGACACCGGGGGCTCAGTGGAAGCACAAGGCATAGGCAGAGGAGGAGGAAGAGGTTGTCAATGCAGTTGGGGCACCGCCAGCACCTCAGAAGGCAGGGTTAGCATGGCAGAAATGTAGAAAAGCTGACTGATGGGTCTGCCCCATTCAACTTCTGAGTTTCCAAATTGGGCACATGGCCTGAGCTTGCCCTTTATGCATTGGAGGTGCTGGCCTGTCCTGAAGCCAGTGTATTGTCTGAATGTGTTTTTAGCATGGCAGGGGGCGTTATCACAGACAAGCGCAGCCGCCTGTCCACAGCCAACGTGGACAAGCTCACATTTATTAAAATGAACCAGGCATGGATCCCACCAGACTTGTCTGTACCTTGTGCAGAATAGACATTTATACCGGCCTCACCCAGCCATTGTTATACTCAAGTGCACTTATTCTTTGTTTTCTTGTTTTATATGTCCCAATATTTTGGTGGCTATCCCAATTGTTTGCAGGGCACTTGTCCTACTCTTACCCCCATTTTACTTCCTTTTGCAGCCCTCTAGCCCATTCCAGAACTTTTTTAGAGGCATTTTAGTGCCCAAAAGTTCGGGTCTCCATTGACTTCAATGGGGTTCGGGGTCAAGTTCGAGGCCGAACTCACATTTTTGCCGAAGTTTGGCCGAACCCGGCGAACCCGAACATCCAGGTTTGTGTGATCTGCGGTGGTTATGGTGCTCCAGCGCAGTGCTTATGGTATTCATCAGTACTAGGAAGCAGCAATTGACGAAGGTACTCGGTCAGAGTGCCAGGCAGTCCATCACAATAACATATACAAAATCATAAACTAATTCCTGGTAAAAGAAGTGACATCCAGCTAGGCAGGTTCCCATGCACATATCGCTGGCACATCAGGTCCCTATAGTAAGATGACCCACTCTCTGTGGGCTAGTTTTGGCTGAGGCAGTTGTAGAGGGGCATATTCCCAAGCTGGTAGTCTTGGATGACTGAAAATGTACAATCTTGGGCAAGTCTCAAGTAAGGGGAGCCTTCTGCACATGTATAGGGTTCGATGGCTCTGAATTGAGTGGCAGTGCCAGTGTTATATGAACAGAGTCCATCTCAGAGACACCATACATTCGTAAAGCTTTACCAACATGAGTTATAACCAGGCACTGGGTGTCAGCCCAACGATAAGGTATAGAATACGCATGAAGCTTGGTATTCAGGGTTCTGAACGGGCTTCTCCAGATTAAAGTTGTTCTGGATAAATCTTGAAAAAAGGTTAAGATAGCATTTTCAAATGAGTAGGAGGGATGGCCTATCACTGCTGTCATGAAGGTGATTTGCACTGACCTGGTTTGAAACTGCATGCTAAAATCTCTGATTGCTTTAGGAATATTATATATCATGTGAACAATGGTCTGTTGGAGGTGGATACTGTGACCAGCATTATCATGATGTAGTGTGGGAGCTCCATGGGGGTTATGCCTCTGATTTTTACATTCCTGCTTCTGTACCTGTCTTCCATAGCAATCAGCCGATGGTTTTGTAATGGTTTCACCTTCTACTGCCTCACAGTGTCTTGGAGAAATCATTATTAACAAACATGTGCTAGTGAACTAAACATCAATGTTTTGCATGTAGGAAATCATCATATTCTGTTATATAACTAGGATAACCAACTATATTACAATATTTTCAGAACAGGGCAGTAAGAAAATTCACACAAAAGGTTTTACATGTTTAATTAAAAAAAGCAAAAGTTACAAACCCCAAAAGCTGAGTAATTATAAAAGTATTAATCTTGTCAGAAAAGTTAATAGAGTTTTAACATCCCAATGCAAATGTACATTCAGTATATATTCATAGATATATATAGAAAATCTGATCTAATAAGTTCATATGTAAGATGGTTTACGTAGACTAGTAATTTATGAATGCTAATATATTTCAGTATGTAAGATAATAATGCTAATCAATTTATGCTAACTTAGGCTAAATCAAATATGGCATTCTACATAGCCACGTCATTATCAAGTCATCGTACTAAAGAAACATTTAAAGTTAACCTTCATATGTAAGTATGAGTTCAAAATCCTAACAAGCTAATAAGAAAACAAGACATGCTTAGACAGATAACAAATTATTTTGGCTTGTTACAAGGCATTCCTGATCCTCAGACTCCTAGGGAATTTTCTCGGAGCTGACTGACCTTGTATTTACTAAACTAACAAGAGAGGTTTATAAACATCATTAGAACAAGGATATGAAAGTGTTCGGCTTACATAGTAAGGAAAATTACAGAAAACGAATACAATTCTTGATCAAATTAAGCATTTTATACCCAAGTTAAGCATTTTATACCCAAATGCCCATAACAGTTCAATGATGCTTGAGCTCAGTGGAACTCCACATTCAGGGCTTCATTTGAGGTGTATTGTGTATGAAGGTCCTGAGTGTATTCCTTCACTGCCCTGACATGTCTCTCAATAATGTGAATTTCTTCACGTTATTGAGGAGGTCTGACGCAAATAGCTGGTGGATGTTGCCAAGGTGAGCCTTGATATCTGTCTTAGTGAAAGACAGTTCATTATCCTCATCGGAGGATGAGTAATGTAGTCTTCCATCGGAGGATGAGTGATGCAGTAGTTGGAATATCGTCTAATATGTCCAGGGTCTGGTCCACGCAGGTGGCCGGAAATGAGTCGCCGTTTTCTTTTGGCACAGCGGCTACTGTGACTTTTGCAGTCCGAATAAACTGATCAACTGTCTGTTCAGCACCTGGTGGCTTTGCGGGACCTTGGCATCTGGACTTCTTCCCCATGCTCTAAGAAACTCTGTTCCTTTGATTTTATGGCAAGATTAAAGGATAAAGTATGATATTATTGGCTTGATATCTCAGAGCTCCTCTGCAACACGTCTATTCTGCTAGCTCCACTCCACGGTATTTAAGAGTTAATATGTGGTGTAACTGCATCTTGATCAAAGGAGAAATCTCACTGCAATTCTAGTGTTGAGAAGGAATTCTTTTATAGTTTGTTACAAAATGGGAAAGCGCTTCAAACTGGGTCTTTTTGCCATCTTTTGTATCAACAGCAAAGGCAGATGTGAAGAAGGCTGAACTTGAATGACACAAGTCTCTTTACAGCCTATGTAACTATGTAAAAATATATACCTACATATTTATTAAATATATAATATATAAATATAGATTTTTTTTTACTACTACTCCTTTTTTCTTCCCATTAGTCACACATTTCATCTGTAAATAAAATCAGCATTTAAATACAGTCTCCTATGCATCAATATTTTTTTTTCCCATCAATCATTTCATTTTTTGCCACCACAGGTAGAATTCAGAATTCCAAATCAAAACAAACATGCTCAGCCATTGCGCCCTTAGTTGGTTCATGATTCAGCTACATTTTGGCGTTGAGTAAAACGGATAGGCCGTAATTTAGCAAAATTACAGTTTGGGAAAAAAATCTCAAAGTGTAATATATGTTCATTGGTAACTTAAAGGCTCACTTTGGCGTTATATTGCACTGTGATGCATATGGCAAGGTAGAGGCTGCATTTTACATGTCTATATATTCACACTGACATTGCACCTAGTGTGAATGTTTAACTATTGTTGTGTGTGTATTCTGAAATAATTAATACATGTTTTATTTCAAACTGATTTTATCTTCTCTGTTAATCAATTACCATAACATAAGCACACAACAACCAAAACTGACATAACTTAATTTCAATCACTATAGTAATAGTAGTGGCCAGGTATCGTGCTTCAGACTCTGTTACATACTACACACTATACAGACTACGTTTTAAAAAATTTTTAAACAGTCAAAATTTACTGCTTGCAATAATAGGATGTTATGTAGAACAATGGTAAACTGGATTCCAGAATTTAGTTAAAATTCCACAACTTTATTTGATAAAGTTCAAAAACAATTACATTCACATTCATTACTGTAAGGTACATTGTGCTAAAAAGAAGAAAAGAAGTTGTAAAACTGAACATTTTATTAAACAAGTCATTAAATGTACTCCCGAGGATTATTGAAAAAGTTAAGTACTGACCATGCAAAGATGCATTTTATTAGCTGATAAAGGTCATATTCCCATGGACAGCTTGTATTCTCAACTTTCATAATGTTGATGCAATAATGAAAATAACAGTGTCTGATAAACACATCCCAATTCAGTATTCAAAAGTTTAAAATGTGTTAATTTTAGAGAAGGGCTATTTTCTAGTCAAATGTTATTAATATACCAGGTCACTGAATGGTCAAGAAGGACTAAGAGTGCTGGATATATCCAAAACCTGCGGTAGGCAACCTCGGCACTCCAGATATTGCGGACTACACCTCCCATGATGCTTTGCCAGCATTATGGCTGTAAGAGCACTATGGGGATGTAGTCCACAACATCTGGAATGCCGAAGATTGCCTGTCTCTGTTCTAAACCAATTTACCTTGGGAAAATGTTTTCTGTACAGCATATAAGGAAGGAGGATTTAGAATTTCACACTGGCTGTTAACCCCTTGCCTCACTGCTCACAGGTTGAAGTAAAAGAAAGTAATTTGTCGACAGCAACCTTTTATGAAGAATCTCCTTTTGCAATGCATGTTATATGCAAGTCTACCATAGTAACAAGAGTGCAAAAGCTCCAGAGGGTCTTTTTGAGAAGTTAACTACAATCTGTAATATGGAGGACTCATAGAAATGGAGATTAGTTCATATTGTATGTATTTCCAGGATAAACCTCACCTGGACCCTTCAACACAATCTCTAGTGTTTTCATTTTTAAATCAGTAATACAAAACATGATGACCAGAACTGTTGCAATTGAAGATCTCTTTTAAAACAGGTCTACAGAAAAAAATAAAGTGAATCTGTTATTAATATAAAAGTATCTGCTTTATGTAATGAAAAATGTACTGACCCTTTACAAAATGCATTCAAATGGACAAAATAATAT